AAAATTACTGTATATTTTACAGTAAATATATGTACACAATTTTGTAAATACATATACAGCAAGATAAGCATTGCTGTAAATGTAAATACAGTATTTTTGCTGTAATTGCTTTACAGTAAGTTACTGGCAAACTAGTACCAGTAAGTTACTGTAGATTCTACAGGAAACTGTTAACATTGTATTGAAAAGGTACAGTCCAAGTGAGTGATTTTATACATTTATTTCTGAGTGTGTGTACAAACACACACCACTAAAGTGCCAATGTTGAAAGAGTGTTCAAAACTGTCAATCAGGTGAGCTAACACTAGGAAAATGTAAAAATGCGTAACAACGCTGCAATGTAAAGAGCGTTTAGTAATGCCAAAAGAATGACTAAACCTGGCCCGAGAGCTGTCATGTCATCATATCATGTTCTGCGTTTTGAGAAACGGCATGATGGTATTCCAGCGCCATCCAAAACAAGCTGCAGCCGAGCAGAACGACGTTCTCAAAGTTTACTTTACGAAAACCCCCCATCTGCTGTGGGAGCCAGTACAGCATCGCTTGACAACAGCCTCAGCGGTGACTCAAAAATGCATGCCTTATTTCACAGACTCCCGCCCAAAACACCTGGCACAGACAAGTGTGAGATCATTTAGATAAAAAGCTGGCAGAGGATCTGTATCCTGGACTGCTTCCATATCGCCGAGTCCCGCCACATGCTTGGTGTCATCCTCAAGGTTCTGGCTGCCTAGGGGAGCCAGAGCCCGAGATAAGAGAAAGAGAAGCCCTCGGTGGTGGTAATTATTTCTGCAGCTCCCATTCTGTGAATGCACACTTTGGCAACTGCTCGCCCCTCACCTGGCGCTCTCTCTATACCACATCAGAAGCAGGATGAGCGCACGGTCTCCTCCGAGAGAACCGCAGAACCGCCCGGCTTTCATAAACACTGGCAGCTGCTGCGGCAATTAGCCATGCGCTCTGTACTTTTACAACAATGCAATCCTCCCTGATCTCCACAATTAGCCTCTTAATTGGGTCTAAACAACCAAGGCGGAACAGATAAATAAAAAAGAGAAGGCAAGGAGAGCGGCGGGGTTGGGCGGCTAAAGCTCGAGAAGCCAAATGCTCTCCCTCTGCGGCCTTTGGCATTTTGCCGTTCGTGGCGAAAAGGAAAACGCGGGGAAAGAAAAAAAAAAGGAAACTCAGCGTGACGCCTCATCTTCAGATTGAAAGTGACATATCTTTGCCCTTTACTTCCTCCTTAATATCCAGCTCTGTGAAATGCTAGCATTTTGTGCGACAGAGGGTGTTGTGGTGACTTTTAAACACGCCGCTGAGCGCCGCATGACAAACACCACACGATAGATAACGATGGCTCTATTTATTTTTATACACACATGCATACTTACTTATCGTTCTAGGGTGATTTGAATTTAACGTCCTTCATTTATGATGCTTGTCTCATTATAGTGTGTGTCGTCAGCTCTTAACAGACATCCCACTGTACAAAAATTCCCCCCATTCCAAAAAGAAATAGTAATAACAATTAATTTCTTTAATATGTAACAAAGTGACACTCAAACTGCTTGTTCAAACTAAATAAAACAAATTGAAGCAATGCAATTATTTCGTTTTTTTAGACAACTTAGTTGTTTTATGTTTAATCCACTTAAATTAATTAAACTTCCTCATCGGCTTTTCTGTAATCCCTGTTGTGTCATGTGCTCTTCCGTGCATGCCCCCCTTTCTTTTGTGGATACAAACAGCCTGTTAAAGGGAAATAACTTTAAAGTGTGTTTGTGTGTGGTGTTATCATTGAACTGGATTCATCATGCAGAACTTTGCTTCATCACTTACCTGCTTCACAATCAGTTGATGCTGTTTCGCTTGAATAAATACTTAAAAGTCTTAGGGTGCTTTCACAACTACAGTTTTGCCCAGTTAGCGCGGTTCGCTTGGCAAATGTGAAACCACCAATCGCTCTCGGATCCGCGCCAAATCAATCGCTCCGAGATCACTTGAAGGAGGTGGTCTCGGCTCGATTGAAACGAACTCTACAGCGGATCAATTGCAGTGAGAAAGCGATCCGATTCGAGTGCGGTTATATCACTGTGTTTTATGGATATGTAATAGGAATACAGCTATATGAAGAGAGAATTATGAGCAGGGCGGGAAGTTTCGCGAGTCTCCGGATGCCCACAAACGAGTGATTATCTCTCGGTAATCTCGCGTCTCCCTCCCGATCCTCAAATAGGCTACGTCGTGCACCCTCCTCACCCCTCCCCACCGCATCTCTTCTCACTCTTCAGACACGTCGCGCGCACCTTGTCAAACACCACCAAACCACCACCTCTCCTGAAAGCTGAGCGGGACTCTGCAAAATAAACCCTGACACTCTGACCAATGTGAGGAGAGTTTACTCGCACGTGACTTGTTTTAGCTCTTTTGGTCCGATTAGAAACTTTGCAGTGTGAAAGCGAACCGCTCCAAGAGCAAACAGCAACAATGTAACATTTGTAATCTCTGTTTCGGAACAACTGAATCGATTCACAGGTGTGAAAGCACCCTTAATCTCCATTGTCTTCCTTGTGAGGCCGTGACAGTATCTTAATCAATTTGTGTTGAGTTCACAGAGATTCATCTTTGGATTCATCTTCAATGCCTCCTCCTTCATCTTACCTCAGACATGCTCAATAATGTTTATGTCTGGTGAGTGGTCTGGCCAATCCTGGATGTAGGATTCTTTGCTTTCAGGAACTTTGATGTGGAGGTTGATGTATAAAAAGAAGAATTTGCCCTCTTCTGTGGTTTGCAATGTAATAGGTGGCCCAAATGTCTTGATACCCCAGGCTTTTGATGTTGACCTCTCGCAAGCCTCCATACTGCATGTAACCCCAAACCATGATTTTTTTCTTCACCAAACTTGACTGTTTTTTATGAGAATCTTCAGCCTGATCTCACGAGAAAACGTAAGTATTGTACGTTTTGCCAGTTTAGTGGCTAATTCGTACGAATTCGTACGAGTTCAGTCGTACGAAATGGTACGATTTTAAAAAGGAGGCGTGGCACCTGACCCCACCCCTAACCCCAACCGTCATTGGGGGATAAGCAAATCGTACTAAATTGTACGAATTAGATCGTACGAATTCATACGAATTAGCCACTAAATGAAAAAGTTACGAATTGCCGTGAGATTGTGTTGGAATCTTGGGTCCGTGCGGGCTCCAGTAGATCTACTGCAGTATTTGTGATGATTAGGATGCAGTTCAACGTAATTCTGTCACTTTTCCAAATATTTAACTAGTCAAGTTATTATTTGTTACTCTTACAACTGGGATCGACAACAAAACCTTTGTCAAATCATGTACAGTGGGCTAATATTTTAGCATTATTATCTTCTATGTATCATAATACAATGAACATTTAAAGCTAATTAACACTAATCATGTTGGACAATCACTAAATTCTGTTACTTTTAACATATGTTCTGTAACAAACAAACACCAAATAACAAAACTACAAAATCATAGACTAACAATATATGTATGTATTCTGCATTGCCATTTATATGCGCTCAATATCAGTCCCTTATTTTATAGAAGCCCAGACTAATGCCGGAACGTCCATGCTGAGTAATCTGACAAATCATTTTGCTACAGTGCATTAACAACAATGTAAGTGCAGCATCAGTAGCTACTAGCCCATGACACACTATTACAACAAGATCCCGTGCTTTCATAGAGGCCTTTTCATGTCCATTTATACCAGAGGAACATGTCTCAACTAAAGGTTTTTTATTTTGACTAGTGGTTCCTCTCAGCAGGTAGAGTTTGAGGAGTGTGTGTGTCAGCTGTGAGTACTGACAGCAGCGTCTGGCCCTCACACACACCACTCCAGCAGGGGAGCCCGACTGCAACCGTACAGCATTTCTAGATCAGCAGCACACTCAGTATGCAGCCTCCACAACATCACACACACACACAAACACACCACTTATAAAGAATACAGGCACCATCTAGTGCTTTCGGTCAGCAAAGACTTTTTTACGATGCATATTTAAAAGCATGCATAATGCTTTTAATGGTGTGATGCACCGATAATGTTTTTCGATGACCAATTCGATACCGATTTCTGATTTTAAAAAATAAATAAATAATTTCTCTTTTTTTTCTCTTTAAATATTTATGTGAGCAAAATGATTACATGCTTTAATTGTGACCCACACAAACCAGCAACGTACATTATATCGGTTAGTTGGTGATTTAACATAGTTAACATTAATGTCGAAAGTAGGAATCGTTGAAGAATAAAGATAATAATGGTTAAGGTCGAAGTTTGTTAAAATGACTGCATCTCATGCTTTTCCATGTGTATTTAGCCATTTCCAAGTAGCATGGATGTATGCTACTTCTACAAGGGTGTAAGCAACTAATCTGTAACTGCAAAAGTATATGAAGATCAAGTCATCCGCATATCCACCTTGCAACCCAAAATTAATATTTCAATCTATTTCTCAATGACTTTAGTCTATATTTTGTTGCATTTAAACAAAACAGTTTTATGAAATAGTTAAATACATTAAAATAAGTGTTTGGTGACCTAACATCTTTAGAAACAGAAAGATAATAAATGTACAGTTACAATTACAGTTTTATATGCATTTATGGTTCTCTCCTTGTTGAAAAAAGCTTGTCCTCTCCTTGTTGAAAAAAAAAGCTTGTTAACTGTTTTTTGAGGGGTTTTGGCCATTTCCAGCCAGCTATTGGCTGGTTATGCTGGAAAATAACCAGCTAAAACCAGCCGGACCCGCTCGGTTTTGGGAGGATATTTCTAACATTATTATATGTTTTAGAAAAACTCTATATTTCAGTATTGAATTCCGTGCATGGTCCATTTGTTTACATCACCATTAAGTTTACGATCGTGGTTAAAGCGCCCTGTGTTAATGCAAGGTCTCACGATATTTTGCGAGATGCCAACAACCAATCATGAACGCGTACTCACGTATACGTAAAAAAAGCAACATGGCGGCCACGTAGGAGACCACTCTTCTTTGAGTATACAAACGTTTTTTAAACGTAAAATTAATAAAACAAAGAGCTGTATAGCTAGACCAACCAAGATATGACTACTGGAGCGGTATTGTTCATATCAGTTAAAAGAAATCATGGCCGAGAACAGAAACATCGGCGTGCGACAAATAACAGACGCGAGAGAAAGTCGGAGCAGAACTTTTAAAGTTGCCCCGAAGAAAATGAAAACAAAGAGACACATGATCGGACTTAAACAGTCACAGTCTCCTTCTTGTTATAATTCGAACAACTGTCACAAAGGTAAATTTATTACAATTATAAGACGTGTGAAACCGCGTGACAAAGGTTGGAGAGTAGATACGTGTTTTGTATTGTATACTGTCATACAGTCCTATCATCAAAGTTAGAAATTGAGGTATGGTTGGTTTTATATTCGCACATTCCTTCATTTAAAGTCCCCCATATTATCTACTTCGCTAATTTAAATATAGGGTCTAAAATCACATGTAAATATGACTCAAAACAACATTAGCACTGTTTAATTGCCTGAATAAGGTTGTACTTTGATATTCATTGGCTGCTAATATGATTTCACTATTTAGAGTTTGCAAATAATACCTTTCTGAAATGATATTATTAAGGAGAAAGTCTGAATGTGCAAATATAGAGCCAACTTTTCCTCTATTAGTTCTGTAATATTTATATATAGAGAATTACAAGCCATTTTAAAGCTCTTCAGCCAAACAGAGGTAAAGTCGGTTTTATTATATTCGCCCATTTGAAATTTCTCCTCAATAATATAATCTCAAAAATTCCCAGAAGTATTCTTGTCAGGGAAATCATATTAGCAACCACTGACTATCAAAATATAACAGTCCCAACAAACACATCTATGCTGTAGCAATGTCTGTACATTGTTGCATTAATGTTGTCTGTTTTTTTTTTTCATTACTGCCTAGGATACAGGATAAGCAGTGATCATTTTCTAGTATTGTTTAATATTAAGTAGTTCATTTATTTTAAATAAAATAACTGCATATATAACCTTGGTGTAAAAATGCCAAACAAATGTAAATAATATATTTTTTTGTATTATACATTTCACATTTATTACATACAGTGCATCTAATTTTAAGCAAACAGTATAAAATGTTTAAATTATATAAACTAATTAACTATATATAATTAAACTAAAAGGGTAGGCTAAATTAAAATGTCAATTGAGAAGTAAAGTAAACAAGAAAACAAATTTAATTCAGACACTATGCATTGAAGCTCTTGACTGGAGAATACAGCAGACAGGGGAGCGCAGCCGCAGACCAGGCGTAGTTGTTGGTACCTAGAAAGCAGTCAGAGAAGGAAACAAATCCAACTGAGAATCCAGTGCAGAGATGGATCCACAGCAGCCACAACTCAAAATAGGCAGTGAACAAGAGAAGACAGATCAGAGCTTGACGCAACAGTACTACACAAATGACCGCTGATGACTTATCTAGCAAGAAGAAATGAAGCAATACTCGCGTCTTCTCGATCATTGTTGAATGAGATGCCGAACGGTCTGTTGAAGTTTAAACTGATTCCTTAATGACGAGTAAATGTTGTACAGTGGTCATCCATGCCACCTAAGCACAATCTAAAGCAACGGGCGTTTAATTGGCAACATTACGACACCGTTGTGACAACCTTCAGCAACAACGTAGATCCTCAGCCTTTTTACAAGGTTGGTACAACGTTGTGGGAAGGTTGCTATCTTGAGGCAACGTTGTGTGTTTGTTGGGATGTTCACAGTCAAATAGTTCTAATGTTGTTTTGAAGTCATACGTGTATGTAATTTCAGAACGAATATTCAAAGTAGCATGGTAAACAATATAGGGACCCTGTCAGAAGTTTTCACTGTTCAAAAGTGAGCATAATATTAAATTGCGAATATAAAATCAACTTTACCTCGATTTCAAATAATATTGTGGTTCGGACACCAATTGTGTCTCTTTTTAGCGTCGACATTGAATCATTTTCATGATACAAACTTCAATAACGTTATAATCTTAATTCTCAGATTTTACAACCCCAAAACGAAGACCAAGAGTCAGATTCAACGGTTCCTACGGTGGAGATTCGCCTAATGAGACTGAATCCCCGCAAGATATCATCTGGGATCCAAACTCACCCACGCAAGATTTGAATGGCAAGTACATTTATAACACTTCTGCTTGTTATGTGAATTGAACTGTATTGTTGCAGAGAATGCAGAGAAGTACACATGTAGTATTTGGGTTGAATAGTTTGAGAAAAAAAGCATACTTTTATTTTAAAATATGATTATTATTATTATTATTTGGCACTGTAACTATAACACTTTAAAATAACTTTGTTTTATATGTAAATGCATTATTTTAATATTAAATAAATCTGTGATTTGTGCATATTTATTATTCCTATTGTGATATAAGTGCATTAAAACTATATTGATTGAAATATTTAATAATTATATTTGATTATTGTATTGTTATTGTTCTTGTTTTATTATTATATTACAGATTTTGTTCACAAAGGCTCCAATTATTTAGTCAGAAATACAATAGAATTGTTTTTGTGTTGTTAGTTTAATCATTAAGTAAATTGACACCAACTGGTTTATTTGTAAATGATTTACATCATATAAATATATTAATGTGGTTAATATATTAATTAATGTGGTTTAGAGCTGTATTTTCTACTAACCAATTACTCTAATTTTAATCAGTGTCACAGAATTATTTGAAAATCACTCAGATATGCTGATTTTCTGTTCAAGAAGTGCTTCATTTTTATTATTGGTGTTTAAAAAGAGTTGTGCTGCTTGGTTTATTTAGTCACTGATTTATTGCCATTATAAAAAGTGGTAGTAAAGACATTTACATCTTGCAATTCATTCGACTTTTTGTACTTTTAAATTACTGTACACTTTTTTGTCTCACGTAAAATTCTACAATGTTTTGTGGCATAAACTGTATATGTGTTGTAAGCAGATTCCTTTTTAAAAATTATATTCAACTTCCTTTATTTAGTATATTAAATGTTTGACTTTTCACAGGACAAGGTGATGGGAGAGTCATTGAAATATCAGAGATTGTCAACAGAATTGCACCGACAGTAAGTTAGTCTATCTATCTATCTATCTATCTATCTATCTATCTATCTATCTATCTATCTATCTATCTATCTATCTATCTATCTATCTATCTATCTATCTATCTATCTATCTATCTATCTATCTATCTATCTATCTATCTATCTATCTATCTATCTATCTATCTATCTATCTATCTATTTATCTATCTAGTTAAAAAGTAGTATTTTGCTAAATATCTATTAAAATATGATGGATTGTCATCATGGTAAACACAAAATAAATTAGCTGTTAAACTATTGTTTAAAAATAATTGAAAAAGAATAAAAAAAAATTCAGCAGGGCTAATAAGTTTGTCTTCTACTGTATGTTTATATGTAATAGTATTTAATGTAACTGTCACACTGTGTTTAAGGTTGAGAAAACCAAAGATGGAGACTCGGTGCTCCAGTGGATTGGAGACAGTGCCATTCCTTGCACTCCAGAAATTCGACAGCCCAGAGTCAGGAGGATCTCCACACGGTACGTTTTATCTGCATTAGACTTTTTGTTGGTTTTTAAAAATACTGTGATGACAATAAGACATTTTTGGACCTTTTCAATTAAATTGAAGCACAAGCATATAGGCTAGATTATATTTTCATTTATTCATGAAGAAAGCAGATGAACAGAGACATTGTGTGTGTCACTGCATGTTCAACACTACAATTCACATGACAGCATACCATATTATAACTAGGGGTGGGAATCTTTAGGGACTTCATGATCTGATTTAATTTCTGGGAGTCATAATCATTTCTATAAATAAAATAATGTAAAATATAAATAAGATGTATACACACACATGCATACATACATAAATACATACACACAGTATAATGTGTTGAAATAATAGACAACCATTTTGGTTTTTCAGTCATTCATTAATTCATTTATTTTCTTTTTGGCTTAGTCCCTTTATTAATCAGGGGTCACCACAGGGGAATAAACCACCAAGTCCATCTGCAACCCTGGGTACTGGGAAATGCAAAAAGAGTTATTAATGCAAAATATTTAGTTATTTAAAGCTATAACATGAATAAACACACCGTGGTATAATGTTTCTATTGTTCTTTAGTCTGCTGAAAAAATAGTGTAGAAATAATTATAAGATCTTTTCTTTCTTATATTTAGTAAATGTAATTAATAATTGCAAAGATTAAACATGAAATTTTGAAACTGCAAATTTAATTAATTAAAATACTATCAGTAATGTTTTATAACTTTAAAACAGAGGTTCTGTGGGGTCTTAAAATGTCTTAAATTTCAAAAACCAAATTATAGGGCTCTAAAAGTCTTTAATTCCCTGAAATGCTGTGTTGTAGGTCTTAAATAATTTTTAATGGATCTTAATTTTTTTATGTCCAAGTTTCCTATGTTAAGATATACCCAACTGGGCCAACACCCATTCAATAACAATATATTTCAATAAAAGTTTTAAGAAATGTTTATTAATTAACTCAATTTACTTATAAATATGGTTAAATTATTTTCCTTACAATAGTAGTTTTTAATACTTTTTAATGGTTTTAAATTGGCTGTAAAAAAATCTTTAGCCTTTTGCTTTGTGTACGTCTGAAATTTCATTCATTATGGTCTTAAACTGGTCTTAAAAAGGTCATAAATTTGACTTGATGAAACCTGTAGAGACCCTGTAAAATGTAGATGTTATTTATTATTTAAAAAACTAAAAAAGGCATTTGGTTGTGTAATATAGAAATGCTATTTGACACAGAACCGATTAATATTTAGTTATTATATTATATTTAAACCTGCACTTTTGGTATTCGTGTTGGTGTCATATGGTTTTGGAACATTTTACTGTTTTGGTTTTATGATTTGGCCATTTTGACCAAGGAAAATCCTTTTAGAAATGTAGTTCTCAAAACCATTGCATATACTAATGTAATGTTTTATTTTGTTAAGGAATTAAAAAGAAAAAGAGTGTCATGTTAATGTTCATGTTAGGATGAAGTTAATTCCCATCTCTTTTTTTTTTAGGCAGAGCAATGTTGAGGACTTGAAGAAACTTGCAAAACAGTTTGACATCAGTATGACTCGCCAGGACAAAGAGAAGGCACAAGAGAGCACAGAAGGAAAAAATAAACTTAATAAGCTACAAAGTGATGGTGCAATGACAATGCAGAGATCACCATCAATCCCAGTCTTGTCTGCAAAGCTAGAGGAAGAGGAGCAGGAGCTTCAGGCGCTGTTTGACGGTCCCACTCAGCATGTAAGTGGGAGACTGAGCCCACCATCAGTAAACTGCACTCCAGAAAACACAACTGAACCGGTAGCTCAGGTTGATCTGAGATCGAGTTGTGCATCTAAAACTACAAATTTTGACGATGACTGGGAAAATGACGACCTGCTAAATGACTCGTTTGTGTTAGAAATGACACATAATCCAGGTCCTATAAATGTACCTCAGAAACGAAGCACTGCTCTGCCTGAACCTTCCACTTTAAAATGCCATTTTGTGACCAAGATTAATCAATCTAATGCCAGAAGCATCTGCACAGAGAGTCAACAGAGTACCAGTAAAAGCAGCACCTTTATCAAGACACTTCCCGAAGTCAATGCATCAAATCAAAGCACTTTTAGGCCGAAGCCATCCACTTCTGCCAAGAATCAAATTACTGAGAAGCTGCTAAAGACTGCGCCTGTGAACCAAGTAAACCAGCAAGCTTGTTCATCCCAGCATACAGGAAAAGCGGAGCTTGATGAAGCCTCCAAAAACAGCGGAGCTTCAAGCCAGGCCTCTTCTCAGTTTGATGGGGTTTCAGAAGAGGACATGAAGTCTCTATTTGATTCTGACGGTCTGTGGAATGATGAAGATGACGATCTGCTTTTCAAGGTTTGCGACGATGTGGAGAAGTTATCTGCCAGTCAGGAACAGCAAAAACTTGCACATGAGTCTATAAGCTCTGCCTCTAAAGCACCTTCCTCTTCCAACACCATTGGCCAATCACAAGCACCCACAAAGTCCATACGAGTCTTTGCTCGCTCAAATTCGGTACCATGCACAAGTGGAAGCTCTGGGTTTATTCTGGGATACAGTGTGTTACCAACTTCTGAAAGTTCCGGCTCTGGTTCAGGAAATCAGAGCGCTCAGCATTATGGGCATGCACAAAACAATTCAGACTTAGCACACAAGACTGGAGTCAGAGCCATGGGCTCTTCACAGACTGGAGGAAATACTTCTAAATCCCACCATTGCACGTTCAAGAGACATCTGTCAGACTCTATGACGCTCACCAACAAAGGTAAGATTTGTAGGTTGTGGCACCCGCTACACATTAGCTATGATATTGCCTCATATGGCTCGTTTCCAATGAGTGGTACAGTATGGTTCGGTACGCTTTTATGGCCGTTTCCACTGTCAAAAGGTACCAAAAAGCGAACTGTTACGTACCACTTTTTGGGTACCCGAAAGGGTATTCGAAAGGGTACCTAGCTCAACAAAATGGGATCAAAAGGTGAAGCTAGATGCTCAACTGAACGCTTTTGGTTTACAGAGATACGTCACTAGAGCGTACACAATCCAGGGGAATGAAAACAAAGTGAGCGCCATTTTTAAGTACACAACCGAGACATTAACCCGTAATAATATATACATATAATAACAAGCCATGGTCGACCCGAGCTCAAAAAATCTTGTTGAACATCTCGAACAGTCATCTTGATGAACAGCCACAAAGCCAAGCAGAAGAGCAGAATCTACCCTGTGCATCGTAGTTGTTTACAAGGCTAAGTCACGAGCAGTTTCACTTTCTTTCGAACGCTCACCACGCATCTATATTTGAAATAACGAACTTTTTGAGCTGATGATAATAACGTGCCTGTGGTTATTGAAGTGCTTCTGACACTCAATCCTTTCAGAAACAGACAAACATGAGAGTGCCACAAAAGTGAAACCGGAAAAAGGAGCAAATGATTCTTTCAGCAACCTAAAAGATGAACAAACTGCCTTGTTTAACTATTATCATCACCTTTTGTACTATTACGAACTCGGAATGATAGAATTACTTTATAACAAGAGGTTACATATGCCAGTTGAAGATTAAAGATTATCCAAATAAGGACTACATGTATGCTGTGTGTAGTTTTTTTGTAAATGTTAACGTATCAGAGACTGTAAGAGTCTGTATGTTTTCATAGATGTTGCATTTATTCATTTATTTATTTTATATAATTGCAAATGTTACTGTAGGCTATTTTCTGTATTCTCATTGATCTGCAGTTATAATCAAATCATGCTGATAGAAAGATTAGTAATGAACATTTATACACTAGTATTTGTGTATAAAGGATCTGTGTTGTGAGAAGTGCTTCTAATATGATGTGAACGACCTGTACAGCTTTACCTTGACATTTCCTTGAGCGAGATAATGTTGACTGAAACTTTGTCATACACCACCATTGGTACCCTTTTGGCAGTGGAAATACAAGCCTGATAAAGGTGACCTGTACTGACCTGTATCGTACTGTACCACTCAGTGGAAACGTGCCAATAGAATACTCCTACAGGAAATGACTGCAATAGGCGAGTTTTCTTAAAGGCCTGGAAACACCAAGACAACGCCGAACAACCAGTGCCAACAAAACTCAATTACGTCATCACCTCTCATCTAGTTCTGTCTGGACCAAATAGCCATGTGTGAACACAAAAAATGGCAAAAAGCCGACTGAAACGCATGCATGTAAGAATGTGCCACCACGGAGAGATTCGCTCCTGCAAATATGTCTGATTATCTAATAATCCATATCACTTGCAAACATGTGAAAAATTATGTGCGTAACGTAATACATAATAATCATAACAAACCAAACCATTAGACCAGTGTAGGTTCACACCCTTACTTGTTACCTCACTTTGCTATGTCACACTCGTTCTCTTGATACAATTCCAAATAACCAATCTGAATTAGGCCAACGATCTCTGACATTAACCCAATAACAGGCGATATGTGGAAAACACTAAACCAACTAGCTGGACTAACAAAGCCTAATGGCCAATCGTTTGCTTGGTATTTCCCGGCAATAACCTGATGAAGGAATAGCATTGTCATAATTTACCCATCAGCAGGTTTTTCCAAAAACGCAAGACTTTCTTTCTTACATAGAACACGAGTAAATGTTTGCAGGATTTTTCACAGTAATCTTTTTGATTATGTGAAAGCACAACAGTCTCTATTGTTTTTCCAAAAACATTATAAAAGTAACATAACAGTAATCCATTGGCCTTGTGCACAACAGTCAAACAGTGGTCATCAAAGTAACCGATGAACATGTTACTAAGTAATATGTGACATTGTTTGATCTCATGTTATATCAAGTGATCTTAATTACTACTTAAAATTAAATGGATAATTTGGTACAATTTTGGATGTACTTGTTTTTACATTGTATTGATATTTTCAAATTGATCTGCATGTAATTGCATCTATAATTAATATTTGCAATTACTTATGTAATTACACTGTTCACCATCCCATACACCCAAATTTACCCTTAAACCTACCCAAACCTGTTCCTAACTAAAATATCCAAAAATCATTAAAAAGGTGTCTTTTTGCCTCATGCAAATTTTCCGCAAGTTGCACGGAAAATGTATTTGAACTGTATTCTGCACATTGCTCGTTCTACATCAATTTCTCTACCCATAACTACCATGACTTTATGCATTGTGTCATATTACTCTGCTCTTACTGTGATTTTTCCAAAGTGAAGGTACATCAATAAACATCAAAAACTCTTCTGTTTATGTGGAGGTTGATATTTCCGACTGGCGTTTTTCTACATTAAACACAAAATATAACCATAAATACATCTCTGCCGAACTTTTTATCTAGTATGATTATAATTTAGGCTAAATTTCACCTCAACTCAGGAGCAAACTAGGTTTTTCTGGTGGCATAAAGATGGCTGATACTTTCTAGCTAAAATAAAAGTATGATTTTAAAAACAAATGTATGATAATTTTTCACATGTACATCAAATTGTGTGTGTCATATTAGGAATTGGCCTTATTATGATATGATTATGCGATGATATGGTTTTGACCATATTTGGACGGGTAATAAATATTAATGAGCTCTGCCCGACATACAAAGAAACAGTCAAATAACCTCAGAGACAAATAACCCCAATTAGAGAATTTGTCAGGCTGAGTTAATTCATATTTATGACCCTTTCAAATATGGTCAAGAGTAACCATATCATGTTCCTAGAGTTGTAAATGGACCTGTAAAACCATTCTACCACAAACCTTCTAATTAGATATCAGAGAACAATGTAACGTATAATATCATACCATTCTGTGCCCCCTTTAAAAGACCAAACAAACAAGACAAAAAAACAGTTTGAGCACCAAAATGTAAACCTGGCACCACTCACAAGTTTCATTGGTTTAAAATAATAATTACATTTTAGGACTACAAAAAAGGGAAATAATTTTCTGTGTTTCATTTTCTTTCTCATCAGGCTATTTATACGCTGCTTTTTCACAAAATCGTTAAATCGTCTTTGATTTGACATGCACTGGTTGTAAGCAACCTGAACGTATTACTTCATTTCTGTTCAAATGGAGAACAAAAGTTATGGGGATGAATAAATGACAATTGTAAATTTGGTGGGAAACTGTTTCTCATTTCCTCAACTGTCTTCCAATATACTTGTAGACAAAGAGTGTAGAGAAATTTTCACTGCAGTCGTTTTTGTGAGTGCTGTATGAAATATTGATACAGGGTTATTGCAAGTCATGCTTTAACATTTTTACATCTCGTCCCACAGAACCATAACAAAGCTTTCTGTTTTTGTTGTTCCGCAGTTTTTATTTCTTCCCACTCGACACCCAAGTGTTCAGCTGCTGAGATAGAGAGGAAGAAACAGGAAGCCATTGCAAGGAGGAGATTACGGATGCAGGCCAGCCAGAAAACTGGAGCACCTACGTAAGAGCCGGTACTCTACCGAATGCACTGGGCTGAAAAGGACTAAATTATGGGATCATGACGACACTGTAAGCATTTCAATGTAGCGACAGAGTAGCCTAACACTAATATGTGTGTTTTAAGTAGTGTTGTCACAATACTGGAATTCGATACCAATCAGTACTGAAAAAAAAAAAAAGTCAATTTCTTGCTAACATTTGAGCACATTCTTTAACACAGCTGATTTGCCATTGTGTTCATGCTCAACAGAAATGATTGGCTGTGAAGGTTATCAGTTCACCGAACTCACCTCTGTTTACAGAGTGTGACAACAGATACAGGGACACTGGAGTGTTTTAAAGACACGAAGATCAGCTGGTTTGTTTATAAGCTGACATTCAAGTGATCCTCTGATTAATCGACTGATCTTCATGGCTTTAAAATGCTCCAGAGTCTCTGTATCTGTGGTTACGTTCAGTAAATAGACGTAAGTTTGGTGAACTGGCCAATCAATGGTGTTTCTGTTGAGCATGTGAACGCAATGGCAAATCAGCAGTGTTAAAGAATGCATTGAAATGTTAGCGGGAAATGGATGTTTTTTAAATTTCAGTATCGATTGGTATCGAATTCCAGTATCGTGTCGGTACTCTACCCTATGCATTGGGCTGATCAGGACTAAATTATGGGATTATGACACTGTAACCATTTCAATGTAGCAACAGGAGAGCTTAACACTAATTTGTCTCTAAGTAATGTTGTCATGATACTGGAATTCCATACCAATCGTTACTGAAATTTAAAAAATGTCCATTTCTCACAAACATTTGAGCGCGTTCTTAAACGTCGCTGATTTGTCATTGTGTTCATGTGCTCCACAGAAATGATTAGCCATCAGTTCACTAAACTCACCTCTGTTTACTGAATGTGACAACAGATACAGGGACGCTGTAGTGTTTTAAAGACACGAAGATCAGCTGGTTTGATTATAAGCTGATATTCGAGTGATCCTCTGATTAATCGACTGATCTTCATGGCTTTAAAACGCTCCTGTGTCCCTGTATCTGTGGTTACATTCAGTAAACAGCGGTGAGCTGATGACCTACGCAGCCAATCACAGTCATTTCTGTTGAGCATGTGAACAATGGCAAATCAGAAGTATTTAAGAACGTGCTCGAATGTAACGGAGAATGGACGTTGTTTAAATTTCAGTATTGATTGGTATCGAATTCCAGTATCGTGCCAGTACTCTACCAAATGCATTGGGCTGAAAAGGACTAAATTATGGGATGATGACACTAATCATTTCAATGTAGCGACAGAAGAGCTTAACACTAATTTGTCTCTTTTAAGTAGTGTTGTCACGATACTGGAATTCGATAGCAATCAGTAATGAAATTTAAAAAACATCCATTTCCCGCGAACAGTTAAGCGTGTTTTTAAACACAGCTGATTTGCCATTGTGTTCATTTGCTCCACAGAAATGATTGGCCATGAAAGTCATCAGTTCACCGAACTCACCACTGTTTACTGTGTGTAAACACAGATACAGGGACACTGGAACGTTTTAAAGTCACTAAGATCAGCTGGTCTGTTTATGAGAGGACATACGAGCGATTCGCTGATAAATCGACTGATCTTCATGGCTTTAAATCGCTCCAGTGTCCCTGTATTTGTGCTTACACTCAGTAAACAGCAGTGAGTTTGGTAACCTGGTGACCTTCGCCACCAATCACAGTCATTTCTGTTGGACACAATGGAAAATCAGCAGTGTTGAAGAACGCGCTCAAATGTTAGCGGGAAATGGACGTTTTGAAAATGTCAGTGCTGATTAGTATCGAATTTTATTATTGTGACAACACTACCTATAAGAAAATGTTACTTGAAGAAATCTTCTGGATAATGTACCAAATGGGTGCAGTATAACACCAAAAAAAAAAGCAATTTCTTGCACATTTTAGTTTCAATATTACAACCCAGTATTGTGAGTAAATTTAACGTCTGATGTCTTCACAATTTTTGATGAAACATTTTTACAGTGTGCCATCTAAATTGTGATGGAACGGATCCTAGATTTCGGATCATTTCTCAGCATGTCAACTTTTATTCACTCATTCCTGAAGATGTAAAAAAAAAACTTGAATTTTTTTGTCGATCAAAACCTAAAGGTCCTGGCGATCTTGTCTATTTGTTATCTTTATGTTTTCCGTTCAACACAATTGTGTTTCAGTATTAAAAGAAGCAAACGAAAATAAGAAACAAGCTTGGCTTTGTGTATTGTTGCCTTCAGAAGCCTTTATTAAAACATTTCCAACGTCGACTGCAATCTTTGGGTCTCTGTCATTGCCTAATAACAGCCTAATGATATTATTACCTCCAGAAATAGCAAATACCTTCATGTGTAATGCTCTTAAAATATAATTTCTAAAAAAATTGCCATTTTCGGATCTAATAAAACAATATCTCTTTCCAGTTACAACCCGTCCACATCTGGTTTATTGTATATGCTCAACAGAAATTACTGTGTTGGCCGTGAAAGTCATCAGCTGAATTCACAGCTGTTTACTGAGTGTAAACACAGTTTCGGGGACACTGGAGTGTTTTATTGGCACAAAGATCAGCTGGTCTGTTTATAAGCGGACATACAAACGATCTGCTGATGAATCGACTGATCTTCACGGCTGTAAAACGCTCCGGTGTCCCTGATCTGTCGTTACACTCAGTAAAATAGCTGTGAGTTTGGTGAATTGATGATCTTCATGGCCAATCGCAAATCAGTGGTGTTAAAGAAGGCGCTCAAATATTAGCGGAAAATGGGCGTTTTTAATATTTCAGTTCCAATTGCTAACGAATTCCAGTAGAGTGACAACACTACTTATCAGAAAATGTTACTTGAAGAAATCTTCTGAATAATGTACCAAATAGGTGGAGTATAACATACAAAAAAAGCAATTTCTTGCACATTTTAGTTCCAATGTTACAACCCAGTGTTGTGAGTAAATTTAACGTCTGATGTCTTCACAATTTTTGATGAAACATTTTTACCGTGTGCCATTTAAATTGTGATGGAACGGATCCTAGATTTCGGATCATTTCTCAGCATGTCAACTTTTATTCACTCATTCCTGAAGATGTAAAAAAAACTTGAATTTTTTTTGTCGATCAAAACCTAAAGGTCCTGGCGATCTTGTCTATTTGTTATCTTTATGTTTTCCGTTCAACACAATTGTGTTTCAGTATTAAAAGAAGCAAACGAAAATAAGTAACAAGCTTGGCTTTGTGTATTGTTGCCTTCAGAAGCCTTTATTAAAACATTTCCAACGTCGACTGCAATCTTTGGGTCTCTGTCATTGCCTAATAACAGCCTAATGATATAATTATAATGATATAATTAATTAATATAATCTTCTAAAAAAAATTGCCATTTTCGGCTCTAATAAAACAATATCTCTTTCCAGTTACAACCCGTCCACATCTGGTTTATTGTATATGCTCAACAGAAATTACTGTGTTGGCCGTGAAAGTCATCAGCTGAATTCACAGCTGTTTACTGAGTGTAAACACAGTTTCGGGGACACTGGAGTGTTTTATTGGCACAAAGATCAGCTGGTCTGTTTATAAGCGGACATACAAGCGATCTGCTGATGAATCGACTGATCTTCACGGCTGTAAAACGCTCCGGTGTCCCTGATCTGTCGTTACACTCAGTAAAATAGCTGTGAGTTTGGTGAATTGATGATCTTCATGGCCAATCACAAATCAGTGGTGTTAAAGAAGGAGCTCAAATGTTAGCGGAAAATGGGCGTTTTTAATATGTCAGTTCCAATTGGTATCGAATTCCAGTATCGTGACAACACTACTTATCAGAAAATGTTACTTGAAGAAATCTTCTGAATAATGTACCAAACAGTTGGAGTATAACATACAAAAAAAGCAATTTCTTGCACATTTTAGTTCCAATGTTACAACCCAGTGTTGTGAGTAAATTTAACGTCTGATGTCTTCACAATTTTTGATGAAACATTTTTACCGTGTGCCATTTAAATTATGATGGAACGGATCCTAGATTTCGGATCATTTCTCAGCATGTCAACTTTTTTTCACTCATTCCTGAAGATGTAAAAAAAAACTTGAATTTTTTTGTCGATCAAAACCTAAAGGTCCTGGCGATCTTGTCTATTTGTTATCTTTCCGTTTTCCGTTCAACACAATTGTGTTTCAGTATTAAAAGAAGCAAACGAAAACAAGAAACAAGCTTGGCTTTGTGTATTGTTGCCTTCAGAAGCCTTTATTAAAACTTTTCCAACGTCGACTGCAATCTTTGGGTCTCTGTCATTGCCTAATAACAGCCTAATGATATAATTACCTCCAGAAATAGCAGTTCAGATGTCTGTAGCGAATTACCTTCTCCGTGCGTAATGCTCTTAAAATATAATCTTTGAAAAGAAATGGCCATTTTCTACACTAATAACAGAATATCTTTTTCCAGTTACAACCCGTCCACACCTGGTTTATTGTATATGTCACAATGTTACTCATTGTGTGCCTCGGGGAATGTCGGCATATCGTTGGGATTCGGCCCCTGGCCCTTCTCAGGTGTAAGCCGCGCAGGTGTGTGCGTGTTTGTACTCCACTGGTCGAGACCTAGCGCAAAACCCCTCCTCTCCAGCGCAATTACTGTAAATCAAATGCCACAGTAATTTGGCAAGAGGATGAGAACTTCTTTCTTTATTTTTTTATTACTGTGATTATGGTTATGATGATGACTACAATTTATTCCAAGCAGATGATGAAAACGCCGGGCCCTACAGGTGTCGAGTTCATACAATATAGAAGTCGGTGACGGATTTTTCTGTAATGTGGCATTATCAAGCTGCTGTGGAACAGAGTAATGGGTGTTTCGGTATTTTTTTGCGTCAAAAAAAAAAATGGAGAGCAATTACTGGTTATTGTGATGGATCCATGCCCATGTGAGGAGAGCGTACTCTGGTATCAAGCTGTAGTAATTACGTCAAAATTACCGTGCCTTGGTGCCAGATGCAATTTGCATTTCAGCATACTTGTTGGTTTGGGCAGAAACAAGATAACGGCTCTCAGACGAACCAAGAAGGAAACTCTAACTGTAAATTACAGTCCGGAGACGAAAACACTCTCGAGCAGATGTTTATTGTGGTGTCTTAAAGCTTAGTGTACAGTGATGCCATTGTGGATTCTCAAAAAAAACAACAGCTAATCCCTTTCACTCAGCTGGCTTTTCAATGGTGCCCGATGTAATGTCATGCTCCCACTTACTAAAGTCAAACCAAGCAGTGAGAGCTGGTGAAAGGTGCTAATTTAAGCTCTGACAGAGCGTGTTGTCTGTATCCTAACAGCGTTTGGACGCCGTATGTATGGGTGACAATTTGAAACTTCCTTAGAACATCGACAGGCTGGGGATTTACAGATCTTAAAGGCACAGCTGACTGAAATATGGAAATTCTGTCATTCTTTATTTAATTTCATGTGATGCCAGAGAACCAAATGTTGATGGCACTTCCCTAAGAATCTTACAATATTGCAAAAAATAAAGCTATAAACACTGGTGTGAAAAAGTGTTTGCCCCCTAATTGATTTCTTTATTTCCTTTTTTTTTTTTCAAATTAATAAACTAACATTATTAGTCAAAGATAACAGAAGTAAACCCATTAAAGTACCCCCCCCCTCCCAGTGGCCTAGTCAAAGTCCTGACCTGAATCCAATTGAGATGTTGTGGTTTTCAAAAATCTAAAAACTGCATTTATTCCAGCCAAACTAAGTGAAATAAGACTTTCTCCAGAAAAAAATAAAATAAAATTGAAAAGATAAAAAAATAAATGTTTGGAAAGATTTGAAAAAATTCAAAATAGTTTTCACAAGAGGGCAATTTTTGTGGCCTTTAATTGTAGAATTGCACACATGAGGATATGAATAAATCCATTAGTTTCATTTTAAGCTTTTGTTATATATATATATATATATATATATATATATATATATATACATACATATATATATATATATATATATATATATATATATATATATATATATATATATATATGTATGTATATATATATATATATATATATATATATATATATATATATATATATATATAATTTTTAGTATTTGCTATTGAATTTAATAAATTACAAACAAGTGATTAATTCTTTACAGTAACAGTACTTGATTACAGTACAATACTGCAAATTTCTAATATGCATTAAGTTACTGTAAACGTTTTAAAAAGACCCACAATGCAGAGCATATTACAGTAGTGAACTGTAAAGAATGTATGTTGTATTTTAATGGCTGTTTTTGCAGTAAATAACTGTAAAATTGCAGCAAAGTCTAACAGTGTAGAAAATCCACAATTGAATGGTTTACACATCTGTTATGCCTAGAAAGGGCTGTTCTTGTTATTGTTGTCGATTGTAGGTTATGCCATGAAGATATGTCTAACACACAACATCCAGCGGAGCGGGGGCACCGAGGGCTGCAGTTGTCATCAAGCTAAATGAACTGTGAATACTTTCACAGTGCGTGTCATTAGCAGCTTAGATTTGTTTCAACAAGGCTTACCTGAGGGCTCTATTCATTGGCCCCCAGGTATGAACGGGCTAATGCAGACTCTAAAGCGCAGCCTTCTCTCCTTCACAGGCTGAAAGAAGCCTCATGGTTTCTCCATTACGAGAGCATTCCTGCGCAAACAGGCCGCTCAGTCGATCGCACAGAGAATATGCTCAATCTACTCATTTCATTTGTTTTCTCAGTGTGTTCTTTAATAACAGCTGCATGTTTAGGCTATACGCTCAAAAATATATATTTAGGCCTTAAAATTGGATTTATGTATTCTGATTGCATAAACAATTTCCATCCATTTGCCTTACATACTGATAACATGACTGAAATAATAAACTGTATGACTGATATTTGGGTCACACTTTACAATTAGGTTTTATTAGTTGATATATTTACTAAATATGATCAATACTTGTTATATTACTTACATCAACACTTAATAATGCGTTATTAACATCCAAATTCATGCTTATTAACGTCAGTAAATGCACCCTGAGTAAACATAAGCATATATATATATATATATATATATATATATATATATATATATATATATATATATATATATATATATATATAAGCAATATCACACGAGTAGCAGTGCAAAATGGCTGTATATAGGCACATGGTGGGAGGCGTGCCTTAGTGCCCCCACCAGTGCCGATATACAGCCATATCGCACTGCTACGAGTGTGATATTGCTGTAGGAGTTCTGATATTGCAGAATACCGCACAGCTATCAGCCATTCAGATTTGAGAACCAGACAGAACTGTTGTATGTATGTATATATATATATATATATATATATATATATATATATATATATATATAGTTGAAGTCAGAATTATTAGCCCCCCTAAAATATTCACCCCCTATTTATTTTTTCCTCAATTTCTGTTTAACAGAGAGATGTTGTTCAACACATTTCTAATCATAATAGTTTTAATAACTAATTTCTAATAACTGATATATTTTATCTTTGCCATGATGACAGTAAATATTATTTGACTAGATATTTCTTAAGACAATTTTATACGGCTTAAAGTGACATTTAAAGGCTTAACTAGGTTAATTAGGTTACCCATGCAGGTTAGGGTAATTAGGCAAGTTTTATTAAAGCCTATAATATCTAAATAAAACTGAAATTTGATAATAAAATAATTTGTTGAAATTTTATATAAAAATAATCAAAATTGATGAAAATGATATTCATTTATATATTTAAAGAAAAAACGAGCAATAAATGATTTTGTGATTTTTGCTAAAATCATCCCGGCATCTAATTTATGAAATTAATCTCCTATGGATCTAAATACTATCTGGATCTAAATATTATCTGAAGTGCAGAATCACAACTGTTTTTAGGGGCAATGACCCATTGGGCAGGGGTATTTCTCGCCCTCATCTGGAATTTTTGGGGCTTTGTTGTAATTTTTTTGCTGACATTTCTTGCCTCAAGTGTCCCATTAAGTTCCTACCCTGTTTGATAATCCTATTTTTTGGTAATTTATTATATTTTGTTTGGTTTTTAAGTTGTTATTTTAGTACTTAAACCTAACAAAAAAAAAAAAAAAGTTTACTTAGCTACTAATTTAAAATGAGTTCAAGTTTGACAAATATGTTTATCTTATTTAAAATGTATTTTACCTTGAAAAAATGTATTATTTATTATTGTGTTTTATTTCTTTATAGTTTTTTATTTTTACTTTTTTATGGACTTTAAAA